TCTGAACCCTTGACCTTGTTGACAACACCTCACTCTAAACAACTGAGCTAACTGGCCAGCCCTACTCCTTTACTTTAATGGTTAGCATGTCGTGTTCTTTCTCCGCATGTTTGTTGGGTTTTTGTGTAGTTTAGCAATAATAGAGGACATAAAATATATACCCTGTGATGGTTAAATCATAATCACTTTTCTATGAATTCATAATCATTTTAAATGTTTTAAATATGAAAATAATATATGCATTTATGATGTTTTAGAAATTACAGAAATATACAAGAACAACCTTCCATAATGTCAGCAAAGGAACTAATCTCTGTTAATATTTTGTTGTATATCCTTCCAGTCCTTTCCTACACATGGGAATTTTCTTTCTTTTTCTTTTTCTGTGGCTGCCCACAGGGATCAAACCCTGGACTGTGGTGGTGTTGGCACCATGCTCTAACTAAGTGAGCTAACCAATTAGCCCTGGTATGAGAATTAAATGCATATATTGATGGTTCCTGATAGAGGTTGCTAAAGTGCTTTCTAAAAAGACTGTAACTGCAGAAATCACAAAAATAAAACTGGCTACTTTAGCTTTCTCTCTTTCATACCAGCTCTGTTTTGTTGTGTCCTCATAAACACTGAGAGGACCTCAAGCTCTTATTTCCCTTTCACTCTCATCAACATTTTCCTGCCACCTTTTTTTTTTTTGTAAAGATGATCTGTAAGGGGATCTTAACTCTTGACTTGGTGTTGTCAGCTCCACACTCTCCCGAGTGAACCACGGGCCGGCCCTTCCTGCCACCTTTGCTCAGTTATTCAGCCAGTCAGCAGCATTCATTAAACATATAGTACTTGCAGGACATTATGCTTGATGCCAAGGTTATAAAGATCAACAAAACCAAAACCTACAATATAGCTGGAGAGGAAGAATATAAAGTGATACCATTTCCAAAACAAAAACAAAAAACTGAAATTATGTGTTTATTTTATTATTTTTTTTTTTTATTAAAAAGATGACCTGTAAGGGGATCTTAACCCTTGAGTTGGTGTTGTCAGCACCACGCTCTCCCAAGTGAGCTAACCGGCCATTCCTACGTAGGGATCCGAACCCGCGGCCTTGGTGTTATCAGCACTGCACTCTCCCGAGTGAGCCACAGGCCGGCCCTTGAACTTACGTGTTTAGTTGGAGGAGTATAAGTTCTGTAGCCAGAGAAAACTAGGTTTACATTCCAGCTTTGCCTCCTGTTATCTGGGTGACTGTAGCTTGGGCACTTCATATTATCTCTCTGGGCCTGAGTCTCCTGGTGTGTGAAACAGTTGTGATACTTTGCTAGGTTGTTGAGGGGCTCAGCAGTCAGGTACTTGACACCTGACTGGTGCTCAGTGTCCAGTAACAATGACTCTAACATAGTACAGCATGTTAATATTAGAGTGGCAGGATGAACAGGGCACTAAGGAGGTACAGGAGAAGGAGGGGCTAACTCAGCTTGAGGAGACGGGAAAGATTCCTGAAGGGGAAGATATCTGGACTTGTCTGGAAGGACTCATGTCCTTGAGAGGCTGGCTGGGGAAGAGAGACTAAAATGTTGCTTGCTCTGAAATGACGTTTAGAAGCAATTTTCTGCATTTCAGCTGGATATGTACATTAGTACATAATGCCTCACATTTTATAGTGCCTCTCTGCTTTCCAAAGAAGGAATTTCCTATTCATTATTCTCATCACAGCAGCTCTGGAGATTGGCAGGGCAGATATTATTCCCATCTGCTGGTGAACTGGGGCCCAAATTTAGGCTTTCATACTCCCGACCCAGCTCTTTCTGCTGCCCCACTCTATTGGCAATGTACTCCTTTCTTTTTTGCTTAGCTTAGTCTGGGACTTAGTCTGTGTGGCTCCAGAACCTGTGCTCTGTCCACTCTAAAGGGCTTCCCCCAGGAGCAAAGTACACATCAGCCAGTAGCTTGGGCACTGTGTCCAGGTGGCATGGATGTATATCAAAGCTGAATAGAGGGATGAGGCCACAGTCCATGATGGGGATTTCTGTGACTCTACAACTCCTGACCCTGGAGGCCATGAGGCTCCTATGGCCTTCTATCCCTGGACATGTAGTTTGAGCACCCAGAATCCATGGCCCTCAGTTATACCCTCATGAGAACAAGTCCTTTGTCATGGCAGTCCTTGTGGAGCCAGCATCTAGGAAGGAGTAGCTTTCCTGTTCATTATTGATGCCTTGTCCGGAGGGACCCCTAAGCATCCCTCTCCATCCCCTGGGGTCTGCAGCTTAGCTCACACTGCTGCTTTCTCCTGCTTCCTCCCTCTGTCTTGGTGGTGTCAGTGCAGCAGCTGTTGGAAGATGGCGCGGATCCCTGTGCAGCTGATGATAAGGGCCGCACAGCTCTACACTTTGCCTCTTGCAATGGCAATGACCAGATTGGTGAGTCTTGGGGAGAAAGGAGGAAGGGGGCTAGGCAGGTAGCATCTCTCCAGTGGCATTGGGGGAGGAGCTGCTGTCTGCCCTCCTAGAATCCTCAGTGCCTGGTCCTCAAACTCCTGCACATGAACCCTGTTGAGTGAATGAGTGAATAAATGAATGAACGAATGGGGGCTGGCTGGTTAGCTCAGTTGGTTAGAGTGCAGCCTTATAACACTGAGGTCATGGGTTTGGATCCCCTTACCGGCCAGCCCCCAAAAAAAAAAAAAAGAGTGAGTGAATAAATGAATGAACGAATGGGGGCTGGCTAGTTAGCTCAGTTGGTTAGAGTGCAGCCTTATAACCCTGAGGTCATGGGTTGGGACCCCCTTACCGGCCGGCCACCAAAAAAAAAAAAAAAAGAGTGAGTGAATGAATGAAACAACATAGGGAACCATGTTTGCATTCAGTGTTCCTCAGTTTGAGCAAGCCTCTCTAGCTAGGTTAGGAGTGTGGGGTCCAGTCGTCGATGGTAGTCTCAAACAGCTCCTCTTGGGTTTTCCTGTTTTTAGTGCAGTCACTCCTGGACCATGGGGCAGATCCCAACCAGCGAGATGGGCTTGGGAACACACCGCTACACTTGGGTAAGTGCCTCAAAGGTCACCAAAACACTTCTCTGCAGTGTAGACAGGCTCTTAGATGGAGAGCCTGGGGTCCTGCAGGCTCCCAGCATCCAGCAAGAGTCTGAGTCACCAGAGCTGCCTTCCCCACCAGCCTGTGTCCCATGGACTATCCAGTCAGCAGTTGGCTGTGCCTTTGGCAGAGCTGATTTAGCAACCTAGACTGGCTCCGCAGCGCCTCTGCTAGGGGAGGTGTGATTGAGACCTTTAGCTGTTTCTGACCCTGCTGCTGACTCACATTGTGGTGCAGGTCCCATCTCCAGGCCTCAGTTTCTCCAGCTGTCCAGGGAGGGAATTGGACTTGATTACTGAGTCCTGCCCAGCTGCTGCCTTGCTGATACCTTCTCAGGAGGCATAACTTGGAGGCAGGCATAACTTGGTGCAGGCATACTTGGAGACGCAGCCCTGCTCCTTCCAGTGGGCACCTGGCCCTGGTGGTTCTGGATTCTTAAGCCTCTGTTCTTCTTCTCAGCGGCCTGCACCAACCATGTTCCTGTCATCACCACACTATTACGAGGAGGTATGTGGTCCCTTCCGCTTTTCCCTCCTGTCTCTCATCCTCACTCCCAGCATGCTCACCGCTTCCTGTTCCCGCAGGAGCCCGTGTAGATGCCCTGGACCGGGCTGGCCGCACACCCCTGCACCTGGCCAAGTCTAAGCTAAACATCCTGCAGGAGGGCCATTCCCAGTGCCTGGAGGCTGTGCGGCTGGAGGTGAAGCAGGTGAGTACCCTCCCCTATGCTGAGCCCGTGGTACCAAGCAAGCACTGGATAGATGCTGCCCTAACCACAGACATACCTGCCTCTGGCCCCAGGGCTCCTGGGTCATTCCACACTGATGCCAGTTGGCATCTGCTCCACTGTGCCTCTTGGCAGCAGCATCAAACCTCTCTGTGCCTCCTAGCTGGAACCCAGGCAGTTCAGCTCACCCTCTTGTTCCAGATCATCCATATGCTCAGGGAATACCTGGAGCGCCTAGGGCGGCACGAACAGCGGGAACAGCTGGATGACCTCTGCACCCGCCTCCAGATGACAAGCACCAAAGAGCAGGTGAGCCACAGCTAGGGGTTTAGACCCAGCACCTGGCAGGAACCTCAGGGCCAGTCCATTCCTGCTCCAGTGCAGCTAGACACTCATAGCAGAAAGAGGCTGTGACTGTGGGATTGTAGCCTGCTGTCGACCTCAGAGCCTCCATCCACTTTCTTTGCAGCTGCCAGTGGCTAGTGTGTGCTCGTGGCCCTGCTCTCTGGAGCAGCCTGAGGCTACCTTGTATCAAGGATTAACCCTTGGTCTGCTGTTCCACAGTCAGAGAGGAGCCACCATGTGCCCTGGGAGGAGAGACAATGCCTGCGTCTATGCCTGTGGTATTGGGCAGGAGACCTGGGGGCCTTGGCACCCTGTAACAGAACCCTGGTTTTGTCCTGCAGGTGGATGAAGTGACTGACCTCCTGGCCAGCTTCACCTCCCTCAGTTTGCAGATGCAGAACATGGAGAAGAGGTAGCAGGAGAGGCTCCTGCCTTCCTGCTCTGCCACTGTCCCCCACCCCATCCCCACTGCTTGCTCTCATTACAAAGAGAAAGCCCAATGTCTGGGACTTTGGAGCTACACTTGTCTGGTGAGGACCTCGCCATCACCCCCAGAGGCTGTGGGGCAGAGACACACTCTCCATGACTTCAGAGCCACTCCCAGCCATGGTCTCCAACATCTCTGTGGGCCAGGACCATAGCCCTAACTTCTTCCTCTGGTTCCCGCAGCATTCGGCCAGCCTGTGCAGCCACACTTCAGCCCTGGCCAATATGCACTGTCTTAGCAGGCCTCCCTCGTCCCATGGCCTCCCTGGCTCCCTCACCAGGTCCCAGACCCTCCTCTGTGTGGGCTTACGCAGGCCCCCTCTGGCCCAGGTGGCTGCTCGGGGGGTGGCCCTTGTGGCTGGCCCTGCACCTCTCACCAGCACTTAGATTTAGACTTGTCACCTGATTTGCAAGGAGACACTGCAGGGAGTTTCTCTTGTTGGAAGGGGAGGGTTGGTGAAACCTAGACCTTAAAAATCAAAGCGAAGAAGGACCCTGCTGAACCCAAAGCAAACAGTCTCCAACCCTTTTTCTCCTAATTATTGAAATACGAGGAGAGTGTAACAGTTTTGCAGCCTAGTTGTAGTAGGCTGTGTGTGGCCCCCCCAAGATGTCCATGTCCTAACCCCAGGAACCTTATATGGCAAAAGCAGCTTTGCAGATGTAATTAAGTTAGGGATTTTTAGACAGGGAGATTATCCTGGATTATCCAGGTGGGCCTGATGTACTCACAGGCATACTTATAAGAGGGAAACAGGAGGATTGGCCAGTTAGCTCACTTGGGAGAGCATCATGATAGTAACACTCATGGGTTCAGATCCCCGTGCTGACCAGCCACCAAAAAAAAAAAAGGGAAACAGAAGAGGAAGTAGGAGATATGATGATGGAAGCAAGAAGTTGGAGTCATTCGAGGAAGGGGTCACAAGCCATCTCCAGAAGCTAGAAGAGGCAAGGAAATGGAATCTCCCCTCAGAACTTCCAGAAGGAACTGGTCCTGCTGATGCCTTGACTTTAGCTCAGTGAGACTGATTTTAGAATTCTGGCCTCCAGAACTGTAAGGGAATAAATTTGTGTTGTTTTAAACCACTAGGTTTGTGGTACTTTGTTGCAGCAGCAACGGGAACCTAATATAGTAGTAAAGGCTCAAAACTCACCCTAAAGCAGGTTTTCAGTCTTAGCAGCAGTACCCCACTCCCACCCAGCAGGAGCAGACATTCCCTTTGTGTGGGCCATGGACATGCAAGAAGAAGTGCCCCTCATGGTGGAGGTCTGCCGCGAAGGCAAACAGAGGGAAGGCACGCCTGGCCTGTCCCCATCTGGGAGGCATTTGACTTCAGACTTTTCCAGGTGATCACTCCGTGTCTGGTCTGCCTCTGCCCCACTTCTGCTCTCATCATCTATTCAGGAGAGAAGAGCTTGTCCCCAAATCCCAGCTTGGTATGGTTCAGATCTGAATTGATTCATGGAACCCAGCCGCTCCCCAGACCCTGGAGGAAAAAGGGTTTCTTTGTGGGTTTGAGATATGAGGGTACTTCAGAAAGTTCATGGAGGGCTGGCTGGTTAGCTCAGTTGGTTAGAGCTTAGTGTTAACAACACCCAAGGTCATGGATTTGGATCCCCATAGCCCTTGTACAGGCCTGGGGCTGCCTCCAGGACCCTGTGAGAGGAGAAGCCCAAAGCCCCACAAGGTGGGCAGAGCTGGGGAAGTGGAGGTGTTGTGGAAGCCCCGAGATTGGAGAGAGAGGAGGCAGAGGAAGCAGTAAAATTTCCAGAGACTGGGGGCTGCTGCTGCTGGGAGCCAGGTGAGGAGCAGGGGAGAGGTGCAGTGGGCAGGCGGCTTTTCTCCCTCCATTCCTGCCCTCCCTTCCTGCCCTAGTTACTCTCGACTCTCTTCCAGGGCTCTGCTGGGGCCTGTGCCCGAACACAGTCCCCCCGTTGGCCATGGCCCCAGGGGTGGGGCAGGCAGTGGGGAGTCCAGAGCAGAGGAGAGGCGGGGGCAGGAGGGAGTGGGCCTCAGAGTTGGGGGGAGGAGGCCTTCTCTTGGGACCTGATTGTCTGAGCCTCCCCCTCCCAACACCCAGGCTATCACCCAGGAGTAGGGTGAGGCAAGGCTTGGGAACCTCAGGTCCAAAGCTCAGTGAATGGGCCCTTAGGGAGCTACTCGCCCCTGAAAGTACACAAGATTCTGTGTGGACAATGTGCTCGTGCATTTCTGAGGAAAGGATCCAAAGCTTTCATTCTCAGCAGGGGCCATACAAAAAAAGTCAGGAACTCTTGCTACTGAGCTGTGAGAGCAGATAGGTGAGGGGACTGCCTGGGCACTCCTGGGGCCTGTCATCCCCTGGGCAGCGTGCTTTGTAGAGCTTGTTCTGTAGAGCTGAGGAGGATGGTGTGCTGGGAGTGTGAAATTATTCTGAGATGACCGTGCCTGTTACCAGGACAGTCTGACACAGGGACTGACTGGCTGACTCCTCACAGTCCTCAGCCGGGACCAAACCATCTCCAGCTGGGAGGTGGGGGTGCCTCTCCTGCAGTATCATCCATCCCTGGAGTCTTGGGGCCATGAGCACTGGCCCTGGGGCAGTGAAGGATCTATTGTTGACTCCCTCCCTGGCCATATAGACAGTGAAGGTAGGGCTTGACACATGAAGGTGGCTTCAAGGTCAGTCACCAAACACTTACCAGACAGCCAGGCAGCCTGCCAATCTGCCTAACCCCATTTCTAGCCAGAATATTTCCTGTAACCCCAAATCAGTCTGAAGAGCCAGCTAGATAAAGTTGGCCCCAGACACTGGAATGAGTCAGAAAAAAACACACAAGTGGGCCCTGAGCGGGCTGGACGGGGCAGGGGGCAGGACAGAGAACACAGCAGAGGTGGCCATCTCAGGGGTTAGTGTTCTGCCAGCTGCTCTGGCCTGGCAGGGCGAGTGGGGAGGAAGTGGTGGGAGGAGGCGCAGGAAGAAGAAATCCACATTCATTGATTTCACTTCTGGGTTAGGATTCTCAGGTGCAGGGAGGGTCTGCCCTTTCCTGGCTGAACACATGACACAGTGCACTGGGTGGACAAGGTATGTACCTAGTAACCCGGGGAAAGGGAGGGCGATACAAGATGATGGGGCTGAGCTGTATCTGGAGTGGTACATGGTGATCTCAGTAGCTGGCTGGAGAGAGCAGCACAAGCCAGGCCTGGGGTCTGGAGGACAGGCACGAGCTGGCTGTGGGACCAGGAGACCACCTGGAAAGAGTGCTGGGCCCAGGAGGGTAACAGGCTGGCCAGAGAGGAAGCTAGGGCCAGGCTGGGGAGACCCTGAGGTCTGAAGATTTGCCCTAGCACGCAGAAACCCTGGGGCCAGATGCATCCTTAGCCCAGAGCAAGCACCAAGAGGTCTAGCTCTGGGTGTGACCTCAGTCTGGGGGAAGGCCCTTCCAGGAGGAAGCCCCTGTCCCCACCAGGACTACCTGCTCCCCAGAATGCTTCAGATGCTGAGCCCATGCCAGAATCAGGAAGGTGAGCTGATGCCTGGGGTGATCCCAACAAAGTCCCTGGTTCTCCCCAGTTATGGGCCCAAAGGGGAATTATAGCCCAAACCCCCTGATGCTGGCTCTCAAGCTAACACTGAGACCTCAGTGTCTGCAAGGAGATAAGATCAGCTCACTCTTCAGATGAGGGAACAGTGTCAGTGAGGTAAAGGAGCCTTGCCCCAGACCAGGGCTCCAAGCTCAAAGTGTTCTCTCATCTCTCACAGAGGGTGGCAGCTGCTCTGACTGACCCAGGCTTATCTTTTTTTCTTTTTTTAAAAGATGACTGGTAAGGGGATCTTAACCCTTGACTTGGTGTTGTCAGCACCACGCTCAGCCAGTGAGCTAACCAGCCATCCCTATATGGGATCCGAACCCGTGGCCTTGGCGTTATCAGCACTGCACTCTCCCGAGTGAGCCACAGGCCGGCCCCCAAGCTTATCTGGTGATCTTCTCTGGCTTTGGAAGCCCAGGAGGATGGTGTGTGTCATAGAAGCATGTGGGATCAAGCATACCTAGAGGGGCTGAAGTGAGTGAGTTGTGCCTCCTCACCTGGATTGTGAGGGCTTCAATGGAGACGAGGATCTGCTTGGGGAAGCCCTTGAAACATTGCATAAAGCTGGCAGCAGACGGGGAGCAACCCAGGCGGTTTGCTTCTGGATGCATCCCCAGTGCCTTGAACAGGATCTGGCCCAGACAGAGCTCAGTTCTGCAGGTCCCTGAGACACAGAGGTCACAGCTACCAGTGCAGGAGCCAGGATTCAAACCCGATAGTGTGGCTTTGGTCAATGCATAACCCTGCACTGTACCACCTCTTAGTTGCCATGGCAGGCCCACCAGATGCCCAGGACAGTGCCCTCCCAGCACCACAGCCGCCCAGAGCCAGGGAAGCTTGGGGAGACTCAGAGCTTCCCCCATATGCCAACCTAGTCCTGGCACCCTTGCCCCTCACCACCCTTCCTCCTGCCCTTCCCCTACATAGAGGCTGGGCCACTTAAACTTGGCACCAAGCAGATGCCTCATAAATCAGTCTGGTCCTCTTAAACCAGAAACAATTTCACCCCTGCTCAACCTGTCCCTCTGGCCTCATGCCATCTTGGTTCCAGCCAGAGGCTCACAAATGAGCCCTGCAGCAAAGCTGAGGAACTGATGTTCATTAATAGGAAACCTCAGGGCGGTTAATTGGTATTTATTTCCCCAGGTTCACACCTCAAAGCTGATAGATGCTGCTGTTCCTGCCAGCCTCAGATGGGGCGGGGGAGAATTGGTTAATGCAGCTGTGGGCTGTGCTGGGGCCCTCACCTCACCTGCCCGCCCCAGGGTTGACTTGCAGCCCTGCTGCACAGGGTGGGGTTGGGGGTGGGGAAGTCACCTTCTCAGCACATTCATGTTCCCCCCTCCACCTCAACCAACTCCTTACTTACCTCATCTCTGGCTGCTTCCCCTAAAAGTCATGGAACCAAAATCAGACAAACCTGAGTTAAAAGCCTAGCTCTGTTTTGGGCTATCTCTGGGATCCTGGCCAAGTTACTGAATCTCTCTGAGCCTCAGTTTCTCCATCTTCAAACTCTAAAGCAAATGAGACATAAGTCCCAGGGCCAAGCAAAACTCCTGAAATGTGACAGGTACTCAATACACCATTACCCCTGGACACACCCCATGATGTCACATAGGCCCCTCCATCTCAACGTGTCCCAAATGAGAACATCTGCCCCCCTAAACCTGCCACCCCCAAGAGCCCAAGCCAGAAGTCTGGGGTGTCATCTGGGACACCTCTCTCCTCCTTACCCTCCACCAATCACCAAGTCCCAGCAGAGGTCACATCTCCTAAGTGGTTGGCCCATCCATCCGCATCTCCCCACCCACTGCCAATGTCTTGGAGATCTGCATCTCCCTGGATCCACACACCAGCCTCCCCCAGCCTTTCTGCCCCCAGTCTCACCCTGTTCTTCCTCCCTAGACAGCTGCCTTGGCAGCCAGAAAGAGTTCCCTAAAGAGTACATCTTATCAACTCTTTTGTTTAAAACCTTTCAGTGGCTCCCCATTGCCTTCAGAACAAAGTACAGTCTCAGTTTCAGACAGAATTTACAGAGTCCTTCCAGGCCATCCCCACCCCTCCAGCCTCCCTCCCTGCGAGGGCTCCATATACCCTGTCCCACCCTAGGTGCAACATGCTNAGTACAGTCTCAGTTTCAGACAGAATTTACAGAGTCCTTCCAGGCCATCCCCACCTCTCCAGCCTCCCTCCCTGCGAGGGCTCCATATACCCTGTCCCACCCTAGGTGCAACATGCTGTGCCTGACACCAGGTGGCTTGTGCGTGTGGTCTTCCATCTCTCTTCCCCATCCGCCCTGGTGAACCCCCACTTCAGGACTTGGCTTGGGCACCAGCTCCTCCAGGAAGTCTTTTCTGGCTCCCCACGCTGGGTTAGGGGCTCTTCCCCCATGCTTGTCTTTTTTGCCTGCAGGAGAACCCTGTACCTAATAGGTGCTCAGACATAAATGCTGCAGTCTCTCCCAAAGAGATTCACACAAACAGGAAGGCGAGAGGGCTACAGAATCCAAACCTCCAACTAAGAGGGGTTTCTTCCTGGGCCCACCAGGCTGCCCCAGGCTCAGCCCTAGACTTGGCAGAGGGCTTAGATCAGGTGGGTTTTCCTGGGTTCTCCAGCAGTCAGGGCTCAGTCACCCTCTACTCCAGCCCCCCCTGCCTGCCTTGGGCTCTACTGGACACACTGCTCTCTCCTAACTCAATTATTACAACCATCGCTCTTCCAAGCATTTCATTAGCCCCCAGAAGCAAACCCAGGAGCCTCAGGAGCCACGCCCAAGCCAAGCAGCAGCAGACCATCAATCTTCCTGCCAAGTCCATGGCAGGAATAACTTCCCAGCCCTAGTCCAGGCCTTGTTGGCTTTCCACAATAGGGCTCACAGAGCAGCCTCCTCACGGGTCTCCTGGCTGCCAGCCTGGCACCTCCAACCCAGTCTCTGCACAGAAACCCCTGGGGGTGTTCTGAGCGGCCCCTCCCCTCCTGAAAACCTTCAGCGGCACCATCAGCCTGAAGGATGCTGCTCTCTTTAGCTGGCCTGGGAGGCCCTTATGCTCTCACCCCTCACACTCCTGGCCTTCCTGCCCCAACCCCACCCTGCTTTGCCTGCACAAGCCCACTCAGTGCTCCTACATGTCCCCTGCCTCCCACAGGCTGCCGCTCCACCTGGCGTACCCTTCCCCAGCTTCCTCCAGGAAAATGCATATTGAACGCCCCCCTCTGGGAGCCCTGCTTCAATGGTCCAGGAAGGCAGAAGCTTCCTCCTCTGTGCTCTTTCAGAATTGTGCTCCTCTGCTATGGCCACATTACACGGCGCTGTCCTTTCTTCTTTTGGTGTTTGGCTCTCTGGCTAGACTAGCAGCTCCTGGTTGGTGGGGACCTGGTTGAACTCATGCATCTCTGCCTTCTCCTCAAGCCTAGCTTACGGCAGGCACTCAAATGCTTTGAGAATAAAGGAAAGAAGGATGGGAATGGTGATGTCTTCCTCCCCTGGCACCTCTGTCCTCATGTATCAAGTACCTGTTATATGCCTCCTGTGTGCCAGGCTGTACTGTCCTCCATTAGTCAGGGCCTTTGGGCCTCTTTATCTGGCTCAATGGGTCAGAGACACCTGCTTCAGAAGCAGGGGGCTCAGAGCTCCAGCCAGGGGCCTGGGCTGTACAATTGTCCCTGCACCAGTTAAGCAAAGGCCCAGAGACCCAGGCCACTCTGGAGGGTTCCAGCTGGGGTTTCAGGCAGGTTCAAACTCTGGCTCTGCCACTGTCTGGCTGGGTGGTCTGGTCCCCTGCCCGTTCTAGGGGAGGCTGTCCTGACTTGCGGTTACCTGTCCATGCCCATAGAGGCAACTGCGGAGGAGCAGCCGCCCAGCCAACAGCAGGAGATTTTGTTCCCCACTTCCGCTTTGCAGGTGCTCACCATTTGTCACCAGCGAACTTTTGTCAGATACCTTCGGATGTTTTCCTGATGCCGCCTGGGCTGCCCTTGAAAGTCAGCCTCAGGCAGCTGAATGCCAGCTCCGCCACTAACTTGACTCTGCTCGAGTTCTCTCACCTCCCTGAGTCCCCTTGCCTGCCAGGGTGGGTGTGAGGCAGACGAGGCGTGAGTGACAGCCACACTGGGTGCTGTGGCGGGCGGCATCACACTGCCTGCCCTCCAGGAAACACCCCCACTGCTGCGGCCTGACTGGGCCGCAGAACCTCAGCAGAGACATGGGAGGAGCACTGAGTTCCGGCCCCAGGCCTGGGCTGTGCCCTTGAAGCAGTTGCCTCCCCGGCTGGGTCTCAGCTTCCTGATGCCGCTCTGACTTCTGGGTCTGTGGCAGGTGACAGGCAGTGAGGACTCAGTAGCCACCTCCTGTCAGGGAGTGGCCTGCCCAGGGTGCCTCAGCAGACAGAGGAACGCACAGGAGGGAGACATGGAGGCCGCGGGTGTCTCAGGCCTCAGCCCAGAAGCTAATAAACATTACTGGTGTGTGGGAAGGGAGGGCGGAAGGTGGGCAGCTCTGAAACCTTCCAGACTGATTTATTGGTTAATTAGCGGGTTTCTACAGCCACAGACTTCCCCAGCTGTGTGCAGAGATAGGGAGGGAGGGGGCCACAGGACCACCAGGGCCTGAAGAAATAATGTAAGGTGTATGGCTCAGGACATGGATCCAGGACTTGATGGCCAGGGGAAGCCTATCTGGACCCGCTGGCCTAAGAACCAGAAAAGACCTCTCTTAAGGAAGGGGGCTGGGAGCCCTTTAAGGTTTGCGAAGCTGCAGGTTTGGAAAGGAGAATCAGGAAGAACCAAGGAAAACTGTGGAAACCATGGAAACTGAGAAGAGGCCCCAGAGGTGAAGGCAGGCCATTGAGTAGCAAAAAATTAGACAGCCATGGGTTTGAATCCAACCTCTGCAAACATTAGCTGTGCGATCTTGGGCAAACCACTAAAGCATCTCTGGTCCTTGATTTCTACATTTGTTTTTGTTTTGTGGCTGGCTGGTGCAGGGATCCAAACCCTTGACCTTAGTGTCACAAGGATATGCTCTAACCAACTGAGCAGACCCGCCAGTCTCCACATTTGTAAAGTGGGGCTAATTATACCTCCCTTGAAAAACTGTTCTAGGGCCGGCCCGGTGGCGCTCCCGCTGAGGTTTCAGATCCCATATAGAGACCGGTCTGCTTACTGGTTGAGTGCAGTACGGGCGCGACACGGAGGGTTGCGATCCCATTACCGGTCAAGAAAAAAAAAAAAAGAAAAAAAAACTGTTCTAGTAATTAAAGAACGTAGCACCCTGTGAGATACACAACAAGTGCTTAATAAGCATTTCCTATGTTAGGAGGCTCAGTTCACTCGGGAGAGCGTGGTGCTCATAAGACCAAGGTCAAGGGTTCGGATCCCCAGACCTGCCAACCACCAAAAATAAATAAAGTATTTGCTATATTAGCTGCTAGTATTAAATTAGCTACAGGAGGTCTGGTTTGGGGGTGGGAGTTGGTACAATTTCTGAGTATGGGGACTTCCNTCAGGTCCAATCAGGGTTCTGCCCATCAGCTTTTCACTGAAACGTTCAACTATTTTTTTTTCTTTTCATCTTTCAGTTTCTAGCTATATTTCTCCCTCACCCTCATGTCCCTTCCTCTTTTTTTTTGGTCTTTTCAGCTCCATTTCTCCATTAGTTTGAACGTACCTCATCACCTATCAAAGCAGATTATGTCCACTTTTTCTTACTGACCTTACTCTAAGAGCTACAGCTGAGGGAGGTACAGTGAAAAGACATGTAGCGTTTGCCTTAATTGGAGCCTGAAGAGCTCAGAAACTCATGCTGTGAATTCCAAAACTCAGCGCTTCTCTAAGAGCTGTGAAAATCATGACACTTTGTCACAATTTTGCCTGAAAGGGTCTTTTGCATGGGCACCAGAGCCAACCTGAGGTAA